AATGTGGGCTCACAAGTGTGGGTTACAGCCATCCCTTCTGACGACAGTCTCGTGATTCTCATTGGCGAGGTGATCAAACGGAGCTCATAAGAAAAAAGTCAAGGAAGGCTCAGCAAACGGGTCACAGACGCTCATGTGCTAGTAGATCAGCTGTACACATTCACAGATGGACACATGCTTTTACACAAGTGTCGGATGGGACGGCCTTGATACAAGTTGAGTGGAGGGTACGGTTAAACAAAAACAAGTGGAGATTAAAAGTACATGAGTGGGATAAACAAATGAATGGGGGAACTATCATGAGATCAAGTTATAAGCAATAGAGTATGTAAATCTTCAAAGTTTTGGACGCGTAGCTGATTGTGTTGGCGGCTGTATGATAGTTACAACAAGTTATGAGTTCGTTCGTCTGACTTATGCTTGTGACACATCTTCATAAATTGAAATAATACTCAGGTTACGCATAGCTGTAGGGGTGATTTCTGAAGCCATTGAAGGTGGTTTAAAGTAGGTGGATGGCTGCATCAAAATTCTGGCAGGTTGGTTGGACTTAAGATTTATGAGGTCAAGCAAACTGTTCTCGCTAGACGCTGTCAAGAGTTATCTTTTTTAGCCCTCATTTCTCATACAGCAGTTTCCTTTGAACCAATGTGTTTACTGAATGTGGCTAAGCCGCTGACGGTGCCTCGTTTGTCACTGACAATTCATCTCAATCGTTACTCCAGTCTATTCTGCAAATCCTGGATGTCTTGTACATTTTCTCCATCGTCAAATTGCACTTCACAATCTTATGACGGGTTTGAACCCGCATCCTTTTGGGCGACAGCCAGAGGGTGTGCCATTCGACATCAGCAGATTATCAGCACTACGATCAAATGCGGTCACATGTGGTACTGCTCATCCGGTCTACATTACATCAAGCAGACTTGACTGCCTTATTGAGTAACAACTTTCCAGTATTGAGGTCCATTCGACTTGAGCAATGAGTTGAAGACCAACTATGAATTGCAAAACGTTCTCTCTGATTAAAAACATGAATAACTTGTTCAGGAATAGAAAAATCATACAAGTCTTATAGGCTCCTCAGTTGGGATAACAACACGCAAAGACCAGTCGACGGTGAACCAGATCAAAACACAGCATTATCTACATTTGGCACGCCTTCTTGAGTATTTACGATCATAGTCATAAAAAAGGTGTTAACTCTGTGATGAATCTACTTAAAACGTCGACAGGTAGGTTATGATGGAAAGAGTAGTTTTACCCTTTGAGGGTTCATCAGGCTTAGTGTTCTTCGGCGACCCCTTACTCAGTTACTGTGGACTAGCTTCGCTTCTGAATGTGGCTCATGTCAATGTGAAATATTGCTGTGCTGGGTTTTCATACATCTGTTTCATAAATAATTTAGGCTAACTCTTATAACATGGCTCCGTGAGTGGAGATTGTGTGGACGTGAGTGACAACGATTCCGTTGTCGCATGTGACCTCGGTGTTCAAAAGTGCGATCACCCATATCTAGATGGATGAGAGATCAACACAATAACTAGGGTTTCCATGGGCTCATAAATTCCATGTTTTTGGCACATGTTTGCTGCCCCTGTTTCTTTGAACCATATCAAACAGCGCATACTGATAATGCCACTTGTTTTTCTTGAAGTCCATTGCTTTCATCGAAGTCAGAACATAAAGATTTCCAACATCTACAAACAAACACAGCTGTTTGGGGAATTTTTAACCATTTTTGATGTGGTCCGCTCAAAAGTTTCATGTGGTTTTACCACAATATTGGGGCTACTTCCTTATTCCGTGCGGTGCATGCTACTGAGCTAAAGTCAACATAAACTGGGCTGTCGACGAATTTTCAGCAACCTTATGAGTAATGCATTACAAATATACAATCTAGACTATGTTCACGGATGAACCCAATGTTGCCCCATGTTGGCTACTGAATCATGCAACGTTCGTTGAAACATCCTCCCATAAGCCGATATGTAATAATTCACTTCTTTACTAGTCAGTAAAAATTAATCTTAACTGTACATTTCATCATTAGTGGCTATTGAGATTGGCTGTCTGAATGGCCAACCCTGTTTGACTACACAGCTGACATGTACCAGACACGTCGTACCACGTCAGTTGAACGTAGGAAACATGGCAATGTCCTTGCAGAGTTTTGTTCTCAGTGATTTCCCGTTGTTGAGAAAATAATAAATCATAGCTCAACCTTAACACTCTTTCGTCGCCTAGCTACCGTCCCACGCGAAAGAAGTACAATGTGTATGATACTTCCAGGCTGCACAGACCTAGAGAAGAGCTAGTGAGATGCCGGAGTTGAGCTCGAACCACGGACCCTCCGACCAGTAAGCTCACGCCTTGAGCAAACTTGGGCTAATTGTTACAAGCAGTAGACTCAGTTGTTGAAAATTGGGATTATTTCTCATTGAAGTAAGAGTTTAATTTCAATAAATCTTTCTGGTTGACATGGTAGGCTCAAAGACTTACAAATTTAAACGTTTCGCATTCGCTGTATAATTCGCTTTGTAAAGGATTCGTGAGGTACTGGTTTCAGCAGTTCGGGTCTGCACCACATTCCAATGTGGGATATTTTTTCATTTATTTAGTTATAACTCTACCAACCCAAACTTTTGAGGGCGATATGAGTGCGTTTTCCTTAGTATGAATGTGAAGGCAATGCAAACCAGACATGCCCATATTCAGATTACATGAGTGCGAGGTGTAGAAATGTAATATTGCCGGACCCAGCCACACCGTGTTACAGTCCTACTGATACCCTCCAGGATTACAATGTGCCAGCAGATTAAAATAATCCCCCATAATTTCTGGGTTTAACTGCCCATCTGCACAAGTTTACAGAAATTGGTCACGCTAGTATGCATATTTTCTGGCCGTTTACTGCCACCCTGCGGTAATTGGTCAGTTACTCTGAGTAATGTTTTGCTGTTCAGAAGTCATTTAGTAGCAGTATGTGCAATAGAATCAGTGGATATTCCATTTATAACCGTCTGCATCAAGGGGTTCTCGGAAATTGAGGCAATTTTATACCACGTGGTGCACAAACGGCCTGTAAATCGGAGTAAGCGTCGTGACACTTAGAATCATGTCAAAATATCCTTCAGTATTTCTATTTCTGATTGTGTTTCCATTTCCTATTTTCCCCCACATGAGCGACACCACCGTTCAGAATAGACGAGTCTTAGCGGTCTTCCTTACAGAACAGTTGTTGAATCGGTGGTGACGTTACAATGTACTCTCCTGTCTTTTCCCGCATACATACTGTCTCCAGCACCATAGCACACGAACAAATCGATTGCTGACATGTGACGTGTCGGTAAACGACCGAATGTTAACCGGTCGCCTCAGGACCAACGCATAGGATTATCCGTGCTAAAGCGTTGGTGCAACACCAGTCACAGTGATTTCTGATTTCTCACTAGCATGGTAGCAAACAACAAGGTTTCGCTCTTTTCGATCTAAGACCCTCACGGTGGACTGTTCTTTGACCCATGTGCGCAAGAAGCAAACTGGACGATTTGTCAAAGGATAAACTGTTTGTCTGCATAAATAACTGCGTTTAAAGTGTATATGAGAAACTTTTTTGAGCAAAGAAGTGCTTCAAAACATGCGGGAAAAGCGTGGTC